TCTCTCTCTCTCTCTCTCTCTCTCTCTCTCTCTCTCTCTCTCTCTCTCCCACCCACAGAGTCTATGAACAAAGGAATGGCTCCAAACAGCCCAGTTCTACTTTCTTGGCAACTATTACAACTTCCTCCCCTGACCCTGCCAGCTGCCCAAGTCCCCACCTAAGCACTGGGCACAAACTCAGCTTGCAGCAGACACATCATCACCCTCACCCACAGTCTATAAAATGTTCCTACCTTGGCTCAGGCTCATGACTTCTCTGGCCTCAATCTCTGGGACCAAAAACCTGCCTGGGATTTGCTTTTCTCAGTACACCTGTTGTTATACTTTTTCAGTTCAGCTTGATTTGGCTTACTGTATCAGCGGAGAAACTCATTTGGAGGGAGGGTACAGAAAACCTATTAAGGCCTTTACCATCAGTTTGTGGACAGTAACCAATAGGCTTGGTTATTTAGAATTTGCATGGGGACCTTTTAGCCAACAATTCAATTAGATATAACCTATTTTCAGTACTAGAAACTTCATTTTATGATGAGAGATGTACAGTTGGGGCAATGCCTACTAAACAATTTGGCAACTTCATTTCAATCACTTTCATACATGAATATATTTTAGGAAGTTTCTGCTGTTTCCATACAACCCATCAAATGGCCCTAAATTTATCTCCCCCAATATTCTATCTCTCATCTTCCTCTACCCTGCCCCTCCCTATTTGAGAGTACCATTCCAGTCCTCTTCCCATTCATAACTATCTACTTTGTTTCTCCTTCCTTGGGAGAATCATCTCCCCTCCCCAATCCCTTACTTTTTACCTAATTTCTGTGATTTTATGGATTGTAGCTTGCTTATTGAAGACATACAGCTAACATCCACATATGGGTGAATATATACCATATTTGTCTTTCTGAATCTGTGTTATCACTTTTTTCTAGCTCTATTTATTTACCTGCAAATTTCATGATTTTATATTTTTAACAGTTGAGTAATATTCCATTATATAAATATACTGTAATTTCTTTATCCATTCATCTGTTTATGTATATCTAGGCTCTTTTCAATTTTTGTCTATTATGAGAAGAGTAACAATAAACATGGTTGAGCAAATGTTCATATGATAGGATGCAGTGTCCTTAAGTATATGCACAAGAGTAATAGAGCTGGACCTTGAGGTAGATCTATTACCAGCTTCTTGCCACACTGATTCCCATAGCGGCTATACAAGTTTACACTCTCATAAGCAATGGATGAGTGTTGTACTTACTCCACAACCTTGCCAGCATGAGCTATCATCTCTTTATTAATCTG